ATTTGGCTTCATCACAAGCGCTTGGGTCACCCTCCTTTTAGTTTACTTAAGTCTATGTTTCCGTCTTTTTTGTGTCTCAGTCTGTTGAGTCTTTTAATTGTGATGTCTGTCAGTTTGCAAAACATCATCGTGTATCCTTTCCTTCTAGTGAAATAAAAAGTATTGAACCATTTAGTTTTTTTATTCATTTTGATGTTTGGGGACCTTCTAAAGTCTCTAATGTTTCTGATGCTAAATGATTTGTTTCTTTTATTGATGATTATACTCGGATAACATGGATATTTTTTATGAAAGATAAGGCAGAAGTGACACAGTTGTTTATTCAGTTTTATTATATGTTTGAAACCCAATTTGGTAAAAGTATCAAACGCTTGAGATCAGATAATGGTACAGAATATGTTAATCAGCATCTTTCCCAGTTTATTAAAGACAAAGGAATGACTCATGAGCTCACATGTGTAGATACCTCTCAACAGAATGGGGTTGCTGAAAGAAAAAATCGAAATTTGCTTGAAGTCACCAGAGCATTGTTGTTTCAGACATCTGTACCCAACTCCTACTGGGGAAAACTGTATTAACTGTAGCTTATTTGATCAACCGTTTACCCTCCCAAATCCTTGGCCATGTAAGTTCTGTTGTGATGTGTTGCCTTTGTCCATTTCCAGAAAATGTATTTATCCTTCTGTTCCTATTATGCAGATTCTCCAGTCTCGTGTCTTTGGATGTGTTGCCTTTGTCCATATCCATAAACAACATCGGAGTAAATTAGAGCCTAGAGCCCTTAAGTGTGTCTTCCTTTGTTATGTTCCCAACAAGAAAGGATACAAGTGTTACCACTCTCCAAGTCGTAAATGCTTGTCTCTATGGATGTTAGCTTTCATGAATTTGAGTCCTACTTTCAACACCCTCAGCTTCAGGGGAAGAACAGTATATAGAAGCTTTATCCATTTTCTCTTAGTCTGAGTCTCTCTTTCTGTTGCCTACACCTATTACCCAAGTTGAGAAGGAAGACTTAGTTGCTGAGAATGAATCTGAATCCTCATGTGACATGCCTCCTATTGATCGACAAAGAGTACGCAAAGCTGGGACACCTGAATTAGTGTATCAAAGGAAGAAACAACTCACACTGCTCCATTAGCAACTGCAATCGCCTGAACCGCTGGTAAGTACTGAATACACTACTTCTTTTATTCCTAAGCCTGATATTAATTCTGATGATTTACCTATTGCTGTAAGGAAAGGGGAAAGATCCTATACCCAACACCCTATTTCTCATTTTGTTTCCTCTAATAATCTCTTTATGCAGCATAGAAGTTTTATTACAGCACTTGACTCCATCTCAATCCCGAAATCAATACATGAAGCATTAAATGATAATAATTGGGTTCAAGCCATGCATGATGAGATGAATGCGTTGGAGAAGAATAATACATGGGAAGTTGTTGACAGGTCAAATGGAAAAAGGGCAGTAGGGTGCAGATGAGTGTATACTCCAAAGTATAATTCTGATGGGACTCTTGAGAGATATAAAGTTCGACTAGTAGCCAAGGGGTTCACACAGACCTATGGTATTGACTACGAAGAAACATTTGCTCCAGTGGCCAAAATGAATACTGTAAGAATTTTGTTATCTTTTGTTGCTTATTTTAATTGGGATTTGAAACAATTTGATATGAAAAATGCCTTTCTCAATGGCGAATTAGAAGAAGTTTACATGGAGATCCCACCAGGATTTAACTCTACAAATGGAGATAATAAAGTTGGCAGATTGAAGAAGGCGTTCTATGGCTTGAAACAATTTCCACGTGCTTGGTTTGGAAGATTTACTAAAGTTATGCTTTCAATGGGATACAAACAAAGTCAAGGAGACCATACTCTTTTCTTTAAACATTCACAAGAAGGTAAGACCACTATCCTTCTAGTTTATGTTGACGATATAATTATAACAGGAGATGATATAGATGAGAAATGTGCTTTGAGAAAAAGACTGACTGCTGAATTTGAAGTTAAAGATCTAGGAAATCTGAAATATTTTCTTAGGATAGAAGTTGCTCATTCAAAAAAAGGCATTTTTATTTGTCAACGGAAGTATATTCTTGACCTCCTTAAAGAAGCAGGAAAACTCGGATGCAAACCTTCCAGTACTTCGATTGAGCAGAATCACAGACTAAGAAGTGAAAATGAGAGCCCTCCATTTGACAAAGGACAGTATCAACGAATAGTGGGAAGGTTGATAAATCTAGCTCATACTAGACCTGATCTAGCTTATGCAGTTAGTATCGTTAGTCAATTCATGCATGATCCAAGGGAGAAACACTTGCAAGCTGTGGACAAAATTCTCCAATACCTGAAAGGTACACCAGGCAGAGGACTATTGTTCCAAAGAGGAGGAAATCTCTCCTTAGAGGTTTATACAGATGCCGATTATGCTAGATCTGTGACTGACTGACGATCTACTTCGGGCCATTGCATGTTTTTCTTTGGAAATTTAATAACATGGAGAAGTAAAAAGAAAATGTGGTTGCTAGATCAAGTGCAGAAGCGGAATTTTGGGCTATAGCTGAAGGGATCTGTGAGTTACTATGGTTGAAAATCATTCTTGATGATCTCAAGGTGAGATATGAAGGATCTATGAAATTATTCCGTGATAACAAGTCAGCCATCTGTATAGCCCACAATCCAGTCCAACACGATCGAACTAAGCATATTGAGATTGATCGCCACTTTATCAAAGAGAAACTTGATAGTGGCCTGATTACTATTCCATATATTCCTTCTAGTCGTCAATTGGCTGATGTCTTGACTAAAGGTCTCCCTAATGATAGGTTTCAAGAGCTTACTAGCAAGCTGGGAATGATAAATATCCATTCCTCAGCTTGAGGGGGAGTGTTGTAAATATTAGAATTTTATCAATTTATTTGTATTAGCTAGAATATTTTAGAAGTGTATTTTGGGCTTAGCCCATTAGGTCTTCCAGTACTCTTTAAATAGAGAGCTCTTGTATATATTATTAATTCAATAATATACAAATCTTATTTTCAAGTTCTTCTTTGTCTTGTGAGTCATGTCAATGTGGAAAACACACTCGCAATACATTTTCCGATCGTGTATGTAGTTGAGCTAAATATCCATTTATTTAGTTCATTCCGATGTTTGGATTCCTAGTCGTACTATGTCTACTTTGGGGTCAAATGGTTTGTAACATTTATTGATGATTACTCACAATATACTTGGTTATTATTGATAAACAAATCAGTACGAGTTGTCTTCCATCTTTCAACAATTTTAAAATAAAATCAAAACAATAGTTTGGTATCCCCATTTGTACCTTGCATAGTGATAACTCCTGATGGCTAGCTTGATATTCTTCAAGCTAGCATAGTTGCAGAAAGGTATACTAAGGTTTTTTTGGCTTTATTTATAGAGATACCTTCTCACAATTCCAAAAAGACTTTATGTCCGCCTATTTCTCTCAATGACGGCCACCCCTTGCATAGATGCATATCAACAATACTTTTCTTCACGATGATCTCACAAAAGTAGTGTATAACGATCATCCTTCTGTATTTTTTGCACAACGATGTATTCTTGACGTCTTTATCACGTGCGCAAATTACTCTAGGGCCTTAAACAATCCCCCTGAGTTTGGTTTTGCTAATTTAGCACTGTGGTTCAACAATTCCAAATAACAAGGAGTGAGGCTTACCATTTAGTCTTCTACCATCATTCAGCTCAAGGATGCATCTACTTGATTGTGTATGTTGACGACGTTGTTATCGTAGGCAGTGATCACCATGGAATATCTCATGTAAAACAATATCTTTGTCATCACATTTTAGACAAAATATCGTGGGAAACTTTGATAATTCTCATGGAAATTCTTGAAAAAACAACTCTATGGAATGCAAAACTTGTAGATATTCCTACACATTCAAATACAAAACTATCTCCAAGGATAAAGATAACACTCAGATTGTTGGATAATCAGACGCCGATTAAGCAAGTTCCCTTGTTGTAGGATATCCACTTTAGGGTATTGTGTGTTCATCGGGGATAATCTAATATTCAAGAAGAGTAAGAAATATAATGCCATCGCAACGTGAAGTTTTGAAACTATAAAGAACCAATTCAACACAAAAGCTTAACCTGATAGGTGAGGTTACATTAATAGTTTATACTATTCTCTAACATGCCTCCTCACACGAGAGCCCACTGGACTTGAAGAGTGGATAATGCACAGGCTCACCTATCTGTGCTAAGAAACTCCACGAAACTTAATTATATTTCTCTAACATAAACAAAATATAGTCATGGCATTACCTACTTGTGAACTCATTTAACTCAAATAGTTACTTCAAGAACTTAGATAAGGGAGCTTAAGCAGATGACTCTCGTTTGTGATAATCAAGCTACATTACACACTACCTTGAATCCAATGTTCCATGAGAGAATAAAATACATTGAGATAGATTTGCATTTCAACATAGAAAAGACATTACGTTAATTCAAATGACTAGCTAGCACTGGAAGATGTTTTCACTATGTTTTTAAAAGGTCCTTGAATAAGTTACATATGTAACAAGCTTGGTGCATATGAATTTTATCCACCAACTTAAGGAGGAGTGTTAGTAATTATTAGTAACTACATTAATAATATCATGTTGATTATGTAAATAGAATAGATAGAATTGTGTATTATGGCAATCAAGAAAGGGTGGTATTAGTATTTATTCTATATTTATTATTTTTGGCCATACGATCCAGACCCCATTGTGTAGTAAAACACACAAATTTGAAAGGTGTTTAAGTAACAATCTTCCTTTGTAATCATAATTTTGTAACTATAGTATTTCTTTTTGAAACTTTGAGAAATTATTAACAAGAAAAAAACTTTGTGTGCATTATCACTCTCTGGTTTCAAACACAAAACTCAACCTATACAATAGCAAAGAAAATTAGTATAACATGAAGAGCATTCTAAAATAAGTCAAATAACTTACATACAGCAATCACCGTATAGGTGTATCCAGCTGCACCAAAGGTCTGATCACTTGCTTTAGTAAGTGATCCTAAGCACGCTCCAGCAAGTAATAATATTAAATAATCTATGGCTTGAATCTTAGCTTCCCTTAGTCGCTGCTTCCCAACCCTGAAATAACATCGGCATGGAGTAGGGTACCAGCAACTACCAAAAGAAAATGCAAACACCAAATTAAGTGAACATGTTCATTATTAAAAGGTTATTTCTACTCTTTCTCCCATTAATATAATATGGCACTCAGTGGACTAAAATAGAGAAAAGACATTGTGACATCTTGCAAAGCTATTCTCTAACATAATTTGCAGAGCTGATTCCACTGTAATTTTCCATCAAAATGTTGTATACTATTACGCATTAACTTCCATTTTGGTTTCTAAAATACAAGGAATGGAGTGGAGCTAAGACAATGACGGTCATATGTTCAGAAGAAAAGGTTTTATTTGTACTCTCCACAAAAATTTGGACAATGACAATTTCAAATATTATTGTCGAATATTTAGCATATTCACAATCTGCTGACTCTATCCATGCTACATTTTTGAAAGAGAAACTATTCTCAGCAAGACAATTATAATGCTCCAGGAAAACAATAATCCATATCATTAACAAGTCATTAAAAAAGTTTAAACTTTCTAGTTAACAAATAATTGAAGTCATTTGATGGTTTACCGTATAAGGAAGTACTTGTATTGCTTGAATATACCAGCAGTTTTCCGACTGGATAAATCTTTGGATCTTAAAAAATTCAATCTTATTTTCTCCCCCTTTAGTTCCACAATGTTTTTCACATCTTGCCATAATTCTTCAGCAAAGCTTCTTTCTACATCAATTTCTTTAGCAGGGTCTACAGTTAAGTACATATTCTGCCACATGTCAAGAGGTACAGGGTATCCATTATGAAGCATCCATCTAACTGGCAGATCCTTATAACTGATCCCTGAACTTTCACTAGATACTGCTATGCCCTCCAAAATGTCAATGAAGTAATCTGGAGGATTAATGCGCTCTGGGATATTTATCCCAAGGCCTGAAAAGTATTCTTCAACTTTCTTAACTGATCCATGATATACAGTAAGACCTCCCTTTGCCAGGAGTATTAAGTCATCAAACATCTTAAACAAAGAATAGCTGCAGCAAAAAGTTCAATCACAATCGAAGGGAAAGTAATAATATGGTTAAAAAGTCCAAATAAAAGCATGGAATATGATATCGGTTTTCAAAAAGGCTTCCCGTTTATAATGTGCATGCAGAGATCCAACAAGGAGCATTTAAAAAGAATGTGATAGAAATTGGATCTTAATCACACAGAAAGCACAGAAACAGATGTATGTATCTCCTCCTGGCCCAAAATCAAGGTGATTTAAAATCAACTGAAAATTAATGTAATGATAAATGAGGCAAGCCATATTCCAATGATGCAGACAAAGAATTAAAAGTCACCTGGGTTGGTGAACCACCAAGCAAATGTTCACTCCTTCAAGAGCTTCACGTCTTAGTGCTCTAAGAAGGAGCTGAGACGATGCACTGTCCAAACCAGATGTCGGTTCATCCAAAATCAAAAGTGAAGGTTCCATGACCATTTCCAATCCAACATTTACACGCTTCCTTTGGCCTCCAGAGATCCCACGCTTTTCCACAGTTCCAACCAAAGAATTTCGTACAGACTGAAGCCCCAAGAATTCAATAACTCTTTCAACAACCAGAACTTTGTCTGGTTTTGACAAGTCAGCAGATAGCCTTTCACAGTAAGAAAAACTCATTTTATAACCAAATATTCAAACACACGAAAGCTACCACAAACAAAATAATATGTGTACAAGTAATAAAAGAAAAGGGCAAGAAAATCAAGGCTAGACAAAAGAAAACTGATATACTAGGCAGACATATAGGAAGATGATTATAAGTTCAAAAGTGTTGCTTCTTGCTAGACTATCTAAAAGTACATGTGAACAGAAAACTGAAAAGGCTAAATGATGACTGAACTTAGGTATTCCATATATTCAATTTAAATAATAATTATAACCCCATGTTCTTCTGGTCAATGAAGATATTATAAGTCTTTTTGTTCTATTAGATTAAAGAAGTCCTAATAACTTGCCATTCCACTTTTTTACAATTTTGCACAATAATACCTCAATAATAAGTTGGATCTTCATAGAAATCTGTTGGTTTTGGAGATGAAAAATATAATTGAGAAATGAAGTACTAGTTTATTGATGCATAACAATACAACTTATAAAGAAAAATAATAAAAAGAAACTGCTCACGACTACATAACTTCCCATCAATAGAAAAGAAAACTGCTCACTTCATAACTACCCATTAAAGCATAAAAGTAACTGCTCGCTACTTAACAACTCATTAAAACAGAAATAAAAAGTGACTCCTAAATAATTAAAAATATTGCAGTTTCTAAAGCATGATTTCTAACACTCCTCCTTGCTTTTGGAGCTGCAAACACCAATCTTTTTCCTTAGATTTTCAAATTTGCTTGCAGGTGCACAAATGGCTACATTTCATTTTTGATAAATATTGGACAGCAACCTTGTTCCACGAATTGTTGGGTCTGGTGGGTCATCTTCTAACTCTTCTTGCCAATGTTCCACTCCTTGCTCTTTGCTTATTTGGATGAGAGGACTTGATTTATGCTTACTCATGGATGCCTCTTGTGATTGTGTCCAGTTCCACTTCTTATCTTCATGAAAATAAACATCTGAGTGGATCAACTGCAGCTTATTGGAGGCTCTCCAACTTGACTTAGGAAATGGATTTCTGTTTTGTTTGCCAAATTGAAAGGCATTACAATTTGGAAAATAATCTGCAAAGGTTGGTAAATCATTTGACAGCTCCTTCTCAGCTCCTTCTCCTTCATCAACAACATATTTGAGAGGTGAAACAGCAGCTTGCTCCTCCTTGATTGGTTCAAATGAGAAACTATTGCCTCTCATTTTTGCTTTGATGATTTCCTTTCCATTCTCATCGTGAATGAGACAAACTCTATTTTCGAAAAGCACTTTGAATCCTTTTTCAATCAATTGGCCAACACTCAACAGATTTTGTTGAATTTCGGGTACAAAAAGGACATCAGGAATAAACTTTGTACCTGAGCAACTTGTTATTGCAACAGTCCCCTTTCCTAAGACTGAAATATAATCACCATTGCCTATTCTGACTTTGGTGATATTGGTTGGCTTTAAATTTTTGAAAAGCTCCCTGTCATTGGTCATATGATTTGTGCAGCCACTATCAATCAGCCAACTCTCACTCTCTTCGCTGCTTGCAAAACACGTTGCCACAAAGAGTTGATCCTCCTCCTCCTCCTCTTGATCAGCAACCTTAGCTTCTTCCTCTTGCTGTTGATTTTTGCTCTTGCATATGACTGCTTCAAGCCCCATTTGATTGCACTTGATGCATTTAGCATCAGGTCTCTGCCAACATATGAATGGAGGGTGACCCATTTTGCCACAATGCTGACAAGGTGGGTAACTTTTCTTTTCACCCTTTCCTTTGTTGTAATTAGTTTGTTGGCTCTTGGCTAGAAGAGCACCTTCAACAGCATGATCTTCCCTCATCAATCTTCGCTGCTCTTGGGCTTGGAGAGCATGTAGCACTTCTGCAAAAGTAATTTTAGACAGATCTTTTGTGTTCTCCAACGAAGCAATAGATGCTTCGTACCTCTCTAGCACTGTTACCAGAATTTTCTCAACAATTCTGGAATCTGCAAAATTACCGCCCAGTAACTTTATCTTGTTGGCAATGCCCAACAATGTGTCTGAGTATTCCTTGATTGTTTCAGACTCTTTCATCCTTTGAATCTCAAATTCGCTCATTAAGTTAAGCACCTGCATGCTTCGAATTCTTTCATCTCCAGCATATTCTGCCTTTAGATAGTCCCAAATTGTTTTTGCCGATTTGAGAGTCATGACCCTAGTAAAGATGGTTGTAGAGATACCAGCAAAAAGGCATGATTTTGCCTTTGCTTTTCGGTTTTTTTTCTCCTTATGATTCTTGATCTGGGCCATGGTGGGATTGTCCGGCAGAGGAAGGACTTCATAATCCTCTTCTACAACTTCCCAAAGATCCAAAGCCTCTAGGTAAGCCTCCATTTTGACGGCCCAAAGATCATAGTTTTCCCCATTGAAAACTGGAAGAGCTGCTTGGGAAAAACTTGTTTCAGAATCCATTCTACAGGTCCCGTAAGAAAAGGGCTTTGATACCAATTGTTGGTTTTGGAGATGAAAAATATAATTGAGAAATGAAGTACTAGTTTATTGATGCATAACAATACAACTTATAAAAAAAAATAATAAAAAGAAACTGCTCACGACTACATAACTTCCCATCAATAGAAAAGAAAACTGCTCACTTCATAACTACCCATTAAAGCAGAAAAGTAACTGCTCACTACTTAACAACTCATTAAAACAGAAATAAAAACTGACTCCTAAATAATTAAAAATATTGCAGTTTATAAAGCATGATTTCTAACAAAATCCCTACAGTACCTTTCAACGACAAATTATTCGTGTGAACATTTAAATAAGTGTATGTAAATGGAGTGCCCCTGTAACTAATCTCTCAACTATTCCATTAATCAGAAGCTCAAAGTAGTGACTCTGCTTCACAGTTGAAACTCAAGGCTAGTTGTTCCCTCGAGTCTTGTCACTTCAAGGACAAGTATAACATGCATGCAAAGCAATTCAACCAGCTTTTTAATTCAACTGATGGCATATTCCAGAAGATCATCCATTATTATAATAAAAAATTGTTTTATTAGAAAGAGAGAAGCCAATAACAAAATGGCAGAGGATAAGGAATACTTTTGATAAATAAAAATAAGAAACTACACAAAGCAAAACAAACACATCAAACGGGTAAATTTCTCCAATCCAATGCATATATTTGGCCAAAACTGGAAATTCAAAAATAATCATAGGGCTCTTAGGTGAGGGGGGTGTTAGAGAATAATATAAACCATTAAAAAGGCTCTCACCCAACATCTTAAGGTTTTGGGTTAAATTGGTTCTTTACACACAATATGGATATTTAAAATTCAGCAACAGTTAATAATAAAAAACATTCTTGATGGTTGGTTAATCTATGTACTGTGCTATGTGAATTTTAAATTTGATGGTTGATTAATTAGTTTGACCATTTTTACTTTATGATTGGAAAATTGTAAAGTTTATTTCATCATAAGCAAGAAAAATTGTGGGTAAGAAAGAGTTAGGATAATTTATTATATCTAACAAGTCCCTCAATTTATTATATCCATTTTGTACCTATGGTGATGTTTCATAAGGAATGAAAGAGTTAAGATAATTTCAATCAGGATAATTTTGTACCTATGGTGATGTCCCTCCATAGTGATGTTTTTCTCCTCTATTCAACTATAGACTTCAATTTCTTCTTTTTCCCATCTAATACAACGAATAAAGTTGCATGCAAACCATTTCACTCTCGTATGCTTAAACCAGCAACTCCCCTTTTAAAGGGAAGTGGTCAGAAAGAAATTTTGTGAAAAAGTATAATTGGAACTAAAAATTTAATCCAAGATTAATTATTAAAAAATGACACAAATAAACATAAATCCAGGCCAAATGTAAGGGCATAAACTTGAATATGGATAAATGAATACAATTTAGAATATACTGCAGCTGGAATTTACAACCATGTGATTTACCTGCACTGTGCATTGAACCGGAAATTCTCTTCCACTGTCAGGTTTCCATGAACTATATCATCTTGTGGCACAAAGCCAATAATTTTCTTATAGGAGTGGATTGATTCATTCTTTCCATTTATAAGAATGGAACCAGTCACTTTGCATCCAAATGTCTTTCCGGCTATTGCTGAAAGAAATGTGGTCTTGCCAGCACCTGATGGACCCATGACAGCAGTGATGCGGCCAGGTTTAATTTTCCCTGTAACACATCTCAATATATGTTTCTTTTGTGCTTTCAAAGTGAGAGTTAGGTCTTTGAAAGAAATTTCAAGTAATGGCCGTTTGCTTTGTTCGCTTTTGGTCGCCATACTAATTACTCCTGAGAAGGTAAGGTTCTTGTTTTCTCGCTGCTGAACCTTCTCTTTCTCCAGTTGAGCATATGCATACTTAAAAATTTGACTATGCGTATGCAGTTGTTTTTCCTTGGACACTTTCGCTATAACATTTTTATATCTAGTTTCTATTTCTTCATGAAAGTTGTCACTGATATCTGGATCATTTTCAATTTCATGTATCATCTGCAACAGATCACTGTGTACTTTACCCTTTTCCTTTGGAACTGCAGATGAACTTGAAATCTTGCTTGAAGTAATAGGTTGTGATTGCGAAAACAATTCAATATCTGTTTCTGCAGTTCCTTGACTCAAAATTTTAACTTCTTCTGAGTCTGCCACATCCTTTGTACGAGAAAATGTTCGTGATAGTTGAGCTTGCAGTCCACTTGCACCCTTCTTGGCAGCATCTTTTGCAGCTTTCCATCTTTGGCGTGCATTTGCAGTCTTCCTTACACTTCTGGCCGCTGCTTCTCTGGATTTTGCCATTCTCCTTTCTCTAGTAGTGAGAGCTTGGTCAGAACAGCTGTAAATAATGAGGAGCAAAGTACTCAAAGCAGCCTGCATGAGCAGTTAAAAACTGTTAACTTCTAAGAACAAGGTCTGTATGTGTCAGCTTGTATGTCAACATCCCTGTATGTGACATGGTATTAAGCATTGGCCATAATTCCAAGATCATCTTTGCATATATGTAAAAGGAATGAAAAACAGAAGCATATAATATCAGAAGTTTTTTACTAAGCATGTATCCATATGGCTACTTCAGTCACAAATTGTTGGTACGGGATCCTCAATAACCAATTACAAATACAAAGCAAAAGACTAAATGAAAGTTCAACTATTTAATACTTGTAAAAGGGTATTCTGATTATTATTGAATTGTGTAAATAATCTGTACAAAGAGGTCTCTATTTATAAAGAATAAAAGACCTAATTCTTGAACTAATACTTGTCCTAATGGGCTTGGCCCAATACAACAAATAATAATAATAAAGTAAATAACTAATTGATGAAAAGAAAAGGTGTTTTTCTGTATAACACTATTGATTGATTACATTGAGAGACCCAATAGGTCCTATTTATATTGAGTACAAAGAACAATGCTAATAAATAGCAACAGTAAACTAAGAGGCTTATTTACAATAACAAGAGACATTAATAAATAAGGGAACAAATAGCAAGGAAGTAATAAATGATAATCTAGAATATTCTACACTCCCCCTCAAGTTGGGAGATATATATTGATCATTCCCAACTTGCTGATCAAATCCTCAAAGGTCGGCTTAAGTAAACCTTTGGTGAGAATATCTGCCGTTTGTTCCTTGGTAGGTATATATGACAAGCATACACTACCGTCTTCTAATTTTTCTTTGATAAAGTGACGATCGACTTCCACATGTTTTGTTCTGTCATGATGGACAGGATTTTGAGCAATGCTGATAGCAGCTTTATTATCACAATATAGTCTGATAGGTAGGGAATAAGAGATCTTCAACTCTTCCAGAAGCCTTCTTAACCAAATTCCTTCACAAATACCATGGGCTAAAGCCCGAAATTCCGCTTCTGCACTGCTTCTTGCAACAACAGTTTGTTTCTTACATCTCCAGGTCACAAGGTTTCCCCAGACATAAGTACAATATCCTGAAGTAGATCTTCGGTCCATTGCAGAGCCAGCCCAGTCTGCATCTGTATAAACTTCAACCATCCTTTTGTTCCCCTTTTTAAAGAGAATTCCTCGACCAGGGGTGTTTTTGAGGTACTTGAGAATTCTATAAACAGCACTAAGGTGTTTTTCCTTAGGAGAATGCATGAATTGGCTAACCATGCTCACAGCAAAAGCAATATCAGGACGAGTGTGAGACAAATAGATTAATTTCCCCACTAGTCTCTGGTACTGCTCCTTATCAACATCCTCCCCGTCCTCAACTCCCATCTTGATATTAGCTTCAATTGGAGTCTCTGCTGGCTTGCACCCAAGCATACCTGTTTCTTGCAACAGGTCTAGAATGTATTTTTTCTGAGTTAAGGAAATTCCTTCCTTACTTCGAGCAACTTCCATGCCAAGGAAGTATTTGAGAGATCCAAGATCTTTTAGTTCAAACTGATCAGCTAAACATTTTTTTAAAGAGGCTATCTCCTCGGTATCATTACCAGTGACAATTATGTCATCAACATAAACAATGAGGATAGCAATTCTACCTTTGTCAGAGTGTTTAAAGAATAAAGTGTGATCAGTCTGAGCTTGGGTGAACCCTCTTCCCTTAACAGCTTGAGTAAATTTCCCAAACCATTCTCTGGGAGATTGTTTAAGTCCATAAAGAGACTTCTGCAACTTGCACACAGAACCATCCCCTTTTTCAAAACCAGGAGGTGGATCCATGTAAACTTCCTCATGTAGATCACCATTCAAGAAGGCATTCTTGACATCTAACTGTTGCAATGGCCAATCAAGGTTGGCGGCAAGAGATAGCAGAACGCGGATAGTGTTAAGCTTGGCAACAGAAGCAAATGTCTCCTGATAATCAATCCCATGAGTCTGAGTAAATCCCTTAGCAACTAATCTGGCCTTATACCTGTTGATGCTGTTATCTGCATTAAATTTTATTGTGAACACCCACTTGCAACCAACAGTTTTCTTTCCTTTAGGTAATGTCACAAACTCCCATGTTCCATTTTTTATAAGTGCATCCATTTCTTCTAATACGGCGTTCCTCCATTTTGGGTCATCAAGTGCTTCTTGGATATTTTTGGGTATCCTGGTACTATCTAACATAGTGTTGAAAGCACGAAAACCTGGAGATAACTTCTCATATGAGATATAATGGGAAATAGGATGAGCAGTGCAAGATCTAGTACCTTTCCGAAGGGCGATGGGCATATCAATGTTGGCTGTGCTAGTGCATTCAAGTGGGTTGCTAGAGCAAGGACTCGAGTTAGGATCCTGGCAGTCTAGAGTCTCTTGATGTGTTTTGCGCCTGCTGTAGAATTTTCCCCATTTACCAGGAGGATCACAAGGACTGGGAGGATCATTAGACTCAGGTATAGTTGCTCCCCCTGTTTCCTTCCCAATAACTCCCCCTGTTTCCAAAGGCCAAGGTAAGACAGCAACTTCATTTGGTTTCCCAGGCTTATCTTCATCCATACCAGTAGACTCCCCCTGAAGAGAAGTCGGGGGAAAAAAGGATCGTGTCTCATAAAAGGTAATATCCATGGAAACAATGACCTTACGGAGAGAAGGTGAGTAACACTTATAGCCTTTTTGATTAGGGGAATATCCTATGAAGACACAGCTAATAGATTTAGGGTCAAGTTTGGACCTTTGATGTGGAGGAATATGTACAAAGACCACACAGCCAAATATTTTTGGAGGAAGAGAAAGAGCACAGAAAGAAGAAAAAGATTTAGTAAGACAAGATAAAGGAGAATGAAAATTTAGTACCCGAGAAGGCATTCGATTAATGAGATAAGAAGCTGTCAAGATGGCTTCCCCCCACAGATATTTAGGGACATGCATCGTGAATAAGAGAGCTCGAGCAACTTCAATTAGATGTCTATTTTTCATTTCAGCCACCCCATTTTGTTGAGGGGTGTTAGGACAAGAACTTTGATGAATAATTCCATGCTGGTTTAGGTAATCTCCAAGAACATAATTAAAATATTCAGTGCCATTGTCTGTTCGCAGGATTTTGATAGGAGTCTGGAATTGAGTTTGAATCGTAGCATGAAAATTTTTTAAAAGTGGATGCCGCATCAGACTTATCTTTTAAGAGATATACCCAACATACCCTAGAATGATCATCAATGAAAGTAATAAACCAACGAGCACCCGAGACATTTTTTTCACGAGCAGGTCCCCAAATATCACTATGAATCAATGTAAAGGGAGAAGATTCATGATATTTCTTAGGAGAATAAGTGACACGAGAATGTTTTGCAAGCTGACAAATATCACAAAGAAAGGAACTTGGCTTTTTATTGATAAATAAGTTAGGGAATAACTTCTGAAGATAAACAAAATTTGGGTGCCCTAACCTACGATGCCATAACAAAACATCATTACAATCATCTGATAAACATAGAGAGTGGTTTGAAAAAATCCTCCTTTCACAAAGATCCTCCTCCAAATAGTATAGCCCTTCTTCCTCTCTAGCACTGCCAATCATCATCCCCGAGTCCTGCTCCTGAAAGATACAATCATTTGCAGAAAACTTAGCAACACAATGCAACTCAGCAGTAAATTTGCTAATAGAGATGAGGTTACAAGTAAGGGAGGAAACATGAAGGACTGAGTTCAAAATAATATGTTCAGAAAGTTTAATGGATCCCTTGCCCGCAATAGTGGAGAAATTTCCATCAGCTGTTCTTATTCGTGACGGGTGATAGTAAGGGGTATAGGAGGAAAATAAGGTTGCATTACCTGTCGTGTGACCAGAGGCTCCTGAATCAAGGATCCAACGATTACTACGTTCAACATGGAATGCCATACCTTTTTGAGCAACATGACTAGTTGCCTCAGCAGGTTGAGACATCAATTTCTGAAATTGCTCATACTGGGCCTTAGAGAGAAGAACACCATCGGGGTTTGAAGGGACATGAGAGCCCTCCCCCTTATCTTCAGAAGATACTTGATTAGCACGATTCTTGTTCTGTCCTTTTGGTTTCCAGTTTGGTGGTTTGCCATGAATTTCCCAACATTTTTCACGGGTGTGACCACCCTTATTGCAATGAGAACACCAACGGTCAGAACGTTTTGAGTCCCCAGAAGGACGAGCAGTTTTCTTTGTTATAAGGGCTGACCCATCAGAGGACTTAGAGTCCTTATCACCCAACATTACCTTTCGGCGAAGCTCCTCCCTTCGTACCTCATAAAAGGCAGTGGCAATGGAAGGTAATGGGTTTTGCCCCAAAATTCTTCCACGAACATCATCCAGATCAGAATTAAGGCCAGCAAGAAAATCATAGAGACGCCTTTTCTCTATATAATTTTTGAATATTGCATTAGCGTCTAAACCTTGAAGGTCTGCTTTATCATAAAGATCCAACTCTTGCCACAATGTTTTTAGAGCAAGGAAGTATTCAGTAACAGTCATCCCTCCTTGGCGTAAATCTTTCACCTTGGTGTTGAGTTCAAAAGCCTGAGAGGCATTGCCCAGGTCAGAGTAGTATTCTTTAACAGCTTCCCAAATTTCTTGAGCCGTATCAAGGAATAAATAAGTTTGACTGATATCCGGTTCCATAGAATTAGTCAGCCATGTCATGACCAAAGCATTTTCAGTCACCCAAGCATCATAGCCAGGTTCATGTTCTGCTGGTTGAACCTTTTTTCCATCCAGATACCCCATCTTCCCTTTGGCCTGGATAAACAACTTAACAGATTGACACCATTGCACATAGTTTCTACCGTTTAAACGGTGATTGGTGATCTGCATTGCTGGGTTGTCTCCAGAAGACGAAGAAATGGGAAGGGGTGAGGTTCCGGTCGAAACACCAGATGAATTTTCAACAGTTTCAGTGTCCATGGCTTCCTAACAACAATACCCATAAAACAAAATTCCTCCAAA